ATACTGTGGGAGACCGTGTCAAAAGCTTTGCTAAAGTCAAGAAACAATACATCCACTGCTTTCCCTTCATCCACAGAACCAGTAATCTCATCATAAAAGGCGATTAGATTAGTCAGGCATGACCTTCCCTTGGTGAATCCATGCTGGCTGTTCCTGATCACTTTCCTCTCATGCAAGTGCTTCAGGATTGATTCTTTGAGGACCTGCTCCATGATTTTTCCAGGGACTGAAGTGAGGCTGACTGGCCTGTAGTTCCCAGGATCGTCCTTCTTCCCTTTTTTAAAGATTGGCACTACATTAGCCTTTTTCCAGTCATCCGGGACTTCCCCGGTTCGCCACGAGTTTTCAAAGATAATGGCCAATGGCTCTGCAATCACATCCGCCAATTCCTTCAGCACTCTCGGATGCAACTCGTCCGGCCCCATGGACTTGTGCACGTCCAGCTTTTCTAAATAGTCCCTAACCACCTCTATCTCCACAGAGGGCTGGCCATCTCTTCCCCATTTTGTGATGCCCAGCGTAGCAGTCTGGGAGCTGACCTTGTTAGTGAAAACAGAGGCAAAAAAAGCATTGAGTACATTAGCTTTTTCCACATCCTCTGTCACTAGTTTGCCTCCCTCATTCAGTAAGGGGCCCACACATTCCTTGGCTTTCTTCTTGTTGCCAACATACCTGAAGAAACCCTTCTTGTTACTCTTGACATCTCTGGCTAGCTGCAGCTCCAGGTGCGATTTGGCCCTCCTGATAACATTCCTACATGCCCGAGCAATATTTTTATACTCTTCCCTGGTCATATGTCCAACCTTCCACTTCTTGTAAGCTTCTTTTTTATGTTTAAGATCCGCTAAGATTTCACCATTAAGCCAAGCTGGTCGCCTGCCATATTTACTATTTTCTAGCATAGACTACTTCAGCCTAAAATGACACTAAGACACTGTACAACATCATTAGACAGTTGTCAGAAAGAAAAACAAATATCAACCTATCTGTTCAAGACAGTGAGGGAAACTTAACAACCAAGACCTCAGAAGAACTAAATACATGGAGGAAGTACTTGAGTCAACAGTTGAATGGCAAGCCAGTGGCCAATTTCCCAAGTACAGAAGAAGAAGAAATAGATGATGAGCTAGGACCTATCAGGAGAGTAGAAGTAGAGAAAGCAGTCAATCAGTTTAAAAAGTGGAAAGGCACGGGGGCCAGATAATATACTAATTGAGGTCCTTAAGGCAGACTTGAGGAACACAGTGGACATTTTGATGGGCTGATCATAAAAAAGAAGAAAAAATATGAAATCGTGAAAAAAGGGTCATAAATGAAGCTTCCAAAGAAAGAAGACCTCAGTCAGTGTGAAAACTGGAAGGGCATTCAACTACTGTCTATCCCAGGTAAGGTACTTACACTTTTATTATTCTAGCCAGAATAAAGAAAATGGTAGATTCAAGGTTGTGCTAAGAATAGGCAACGATTCAGACAGGAAAAATCATGTATAGATCACATAGTAAACCTGTGTATCATCATAGAACTGTTGATCAAATGACAGTCACCAGTTTATATGAATTTTACTGATTTCCAAACCCTTTGATACAGTGACAGAACAGTTTGATGGAAGTTGCTATGCCACTATAGAATCCCTCAAAAATTTGTGTACACAGTTTCGATCATCTATTAAAATAGGAAATGCCAAGTAATACGTGACTAAAGCATTCAAAGTTATTGCGAGCATAGGACAAGGATGTCTTAGGTCATCCATGATCTTTTTACTGGTAGTGATTGGTTAATGACAAAAACCATAGAACACCCAAGTGGCATACAATAGACTCTCACATAGGGTATGTCTACACTACGGAATAAGGTCAAATTTATAGAAGTCGTTTTTTTAGAAATCAGTTTTATATATTCGAGTGTGTGTCCCCCCACAGAAAATGCTCTAAGTGCATTAAGTGCATTAACTCGGCGGAGCGCTTCCACAGTACCGAGGCTAGAGTCGACTTCCCGAGCGTTGCACTGTGGGTAGCTATCCCACAGTTCCTGCAGTCTCCGCTGCCCATTGGAATTCTGGGTTGAGATCCCAATCCCTGATGGGGCTAAAACATTGTCGCGGGTGGTTCTGGGTACATATCGTCAGGCCCCCGTTCCCTCCCTCCCTCCGTGAAAGCAAGGGCAGACAGTCGTTTCGCGCCTTTTTTCCTAAGTTACCTGTGCAGACGCCATACCACGGCAAGCAGGGAGCCCGCTCAGGTAACCGTCACCGTATGTCTCCTGGGTGCTGGCAGACGCGGTACGGCATTGCTACACAGTAGAAGCAACCCATTGCCTTCTGGCAGCAGACGGTGCAACATGACTGGTAGCCGTCATCGTCGTGTCCGAGGTGCTCCTGGCCACGTCAGCTGGGAGCACCTGGGCAAACATGGGCGCAGGGACTAAATTTGGAGTGACTTGACCAGGTCATTCTCTTTAGTCCTGCAGTCAGTCCTATTGAACCGTCTTATGGTGAGCAGGCAGGCGATACGGATTGCTAGCAGTCGTACTGTACCATCTTCTGTCGGGCAGGCAAGAGATGAGGATGGCTAGCAGTCGTATTGTACCATCTTCTGCCGGGCAGGCAAGAGATGAGGATGGCTAGCAGTCGTACTGTACCATCTTCTGCTGAGCAGCCATGAGATGTGGATGGCATGCAGTCCTTCTGCACCGTCTGCTGCCAGCCAAAGATCTAAAAGATGGATGTAGTGGATCAAAACAAGAAATAGACCAGATTTGTGTTGTACTCATTTGCCTCCTCCCCCGTCTAGGGGACTCATTCCTCTAGGTCACACTGCAGTCACTCACAGGGAAGGTGCAGCGAGGTAAATCTAGCCATGTATCAATCAGAGGCCAGACTAACCTCCTTGTTCCAATAAGAACGATAACTTAGGTGCACCATTTCTTATTGGAACCCTCCGTGAAGTCCTGCCTGAAATACTCCTTGATGTAAAGACACCCCCTTTGTTGATTTTTAGCTCCCTGAAGCCAACCCTGTAAGCCGTGTCCTCAGTCGCCCCTCCCTCCGTCAGAGCAATGGCAGACAATCATTCCACGCCTTTTTTCTCTGCGGACGCCATACCAAGGCAAGCATTGAAGCCGCTCAGCTCACTTTGGCAATTAGGAGCACATTAAACACCACACGCATTATCCAGCAGCATATGCAGCACCAGAACCTGGCAGAGCGATACCAGGAGAGGAGGCGACGTCAGCGCGGTCACGTGAGTGATGAGGACATGGACACAGATTTCTCTGAAAGCATGGGCCCTGCCAATGCATGCATCATGGTGATAATGGGGCAGGTTCATGCTGTGGAACGCCGATTCTGGGCTCGGGAAACAAGCACAGACTGGTGGGACCGCATAGTGTTGCAGGTCTGGGACAATTCCCAGTGACTGCGAAACTTTCGCATGCGTAAGGGCACTTTCATGGAACTTTGTGACTTGCTTTCCCCCGCCCTGAGGCGCATGAATACCAAGATGAGAGCAGCCCTCACAGTTGAGAAGCGAGTGGCGATAGCCCTGTGGAAGTTTCCAACGCCAGACAGCTACCGGTCAGTCGGGAATCAATTTGGAGTGGGCAAATCTACTGTGGGGGCTGCTGTGATGCAAGTAGCCCACGCAATCAAAGATCTGCTGATATCAAGGGTAGTGACCCTGGGAAATGTGCAGGTCATAGTGGATGGCTTTGCTGCAATGGGATTCCCTAACTGTGGTGGGGCCATAGACGGAACCCATATCCCTGTCTTGGCACCGGAGCACCAAGCTGCCGAGTACATAAACCGCAAGGGGTACTTTTCGATAGTGCTGCAAGCTCTGGTGGATCACCAGGGACGTTTCACCAACATCAACATGGGATGGCCGGGAAAGGTACATGACGCTCGCATCTTCAGGAACTCTGGTCTGTTTCAAAAGCTGCAGGAAGGGACTTTATTCCCAGACCAGAAAATAACCATTGGGGATGTTGAAATGCCTATAGTTATCCTTGGGGACCCAGCCTACCCCTTAATGCCATGGCTCATGAAGCCGTACACAGGCAGCCTGGACAGTAGTCAGGAGCTGTTCAACTACAGGCTGAGCAAGTGCAGAATGGTGGTAGAATGTGCATTTGGATGTTTAAAGGCGCGCTGGCGCAGTTTACTGACTCGCTTAGACCTCAGCGAAACCAATATTCCCACTGTTATTACTGCTTGCTGTGTGCTCCACAATATCTGTGAGAGTAAGGGGGAGACGTTTATGGCGGGGTGGGAAGTTGAGGCAAATCGCCTGGCTGCTGGTTACGTGCAGCCAGACACCAGGGCGGTTAGAGCACAGGAGGGCGCGGTACGCATCAGAGAAGCTTTGAAAACCAGTTTCATGATTGGCCAGGCTACGGTGTGAAAGTTCTCTTTGTTTCTCCTTGATGAAACCCCCCGCCCCTTGGTTCACTCTACTTCCCTGTAAGCTAACCACCCTCCCCTCCTCCCTTCGATCACCGCTTGCAGAGGCAATAAAGTCATTGTTGCTTCACATTCATGCATTCTTTATTCATTCATCACACAAATAGGGGGATGACTACCAAGGTAGCCCAGGAGGGGTGGTGGAGGAGGGAACGAAAATGCCACACAGCACTTTAAGCACAGCACTTTAAAAGTTTACAACTTTAAAATTTATTGAATGACAGCCTTCTTTTTTTTGGGCAATCCTCTGTGGAGGAGTGGCTGGTTGGCCGGTGGCCCCCCCACCGCGTTCTTGGGCGTCTGGGTGTGGAGGCTATGGAACTTGGGGAGGAGGGCGGTTGGTTACACAGGGGCTGTAGTGGCAGTCTGTGTTCCAACTGCCTTTGCTGCAGCTCAGCCATACACTGGAGCATACTGGTTTGGTCCTCCAGCAGCCTCAGCATTGAATCCTGCCTCCTCTCATCACGCTGCCACCACATTTGAGCTTCAGCTCTCTCTTCAGCCTGCCACCTCTCCTCCCGGTCATTTTGTGCTTTCCTGCACTCTGACATTATTTGCCTCCACGCATTCGTCTGTGCTCTGTCAGTGTGGGAGGACAGCATGAGCTCGGAGAACATTTCATCTCGAGTGCATTTTTTTTTTTCTTTCTAATCTTCACTAGCCTCTGGGAAGGAGAAGATCCTGTGATCATTGAAACACATGCAGCTGGTGGAGAAAAAAAAAGGGACAGCGATATTTGAAAAGACACATTTTATAAAACAGTGGCTACACTCTTTCAGGGTAAACCTTGCTGTTAACATTACATACATAGCACATGTGCTTTCGTTACAAGGTCGCATTTTGCCTCCCCCCACCGCATGGCTACCCACTCAACCCTCTCCCCCTCTCCCCGTGGCTAACAGCAGGGAACATTTCTGTTTAGCCACAGGCAAACAGCCCAGCAGGAACGGTCTCCTCTGAGTGTCCCCTGAAGAAAAGCACTCTATTTCAACAAGGTGACCATGAATTATATCTCACTCTCCTGAGGATAACACAGAGAGATAAAGAACGGATGTTGTTTGAACATACACTGCAATGCTTTGTTGTACGATGATTCCCGAGTACGTGTTACTAGCCTGGAGTGGTAAAGTGTCCTACCATGAAGGACGCAATAAGGCTGCCCTCCCCAGAAACCTTTTGCAAAGGCTTTGGGAGTACATCCAGGAGAGCCGCGAATGCCAGGGCAAAGTAATCCTTTCACATGCTTGCTTTTAAACCATGTATAGTATTTTAAAAGGTACAGTCACCGGAGGTACCTTCTCTGCCTGCCGGGTCCAGGAAGCAGCCTTGGGTGGGTTCAGGGGATACTGGCTCCAGGTCCAGGGTGAGAAACAGTTCCTGGCTGTCGGGAAAACCGGTTTCTCCACTTGCTTGCTGTGAGCTATCTACAACAACAACATCATCTTCTTCTTCTTCTTCTTCGTCCCCAAAACCTGCTTCTGTGTTGCCTCCATCTCCATTGAAGGAGTCAAACAACACAGCTGGGGTAGTGGTGGCTGAACCCCCTAAAATGGCATGCAGCTCATCATAGAAGCGGCATGTTTGGGGCTCTGACCTGGAGCGGCCGTTCGCCTCTCTGGTTTTCTGGTAGGCTTGCCTCAGCTCCTTCAGTTTCACGCGGCACTGCTTCGGGTCCCTGTTATGGCCTCTGTCCTTCATGCCCTGGGAGATTTTGACAAAGGTTTTGGCATTTCGAAAACTGGAACGGAGTTCTGATAGCACGGATTCCTCTCCCCAAACAGCGATCAGATCCCGTACCTCCCGTTCTGTCCATGCTGGAGCTCTTTTGCGATTCTGGGACTCCATCATGGTCACCTGTGCTGATGAGCTCTGCATGGTCACCTGCAGCTTGCCATGCTGGCCAAACAGGAAATGAGATTCAAAAGTTCGCGGTTCTTTTCCTGTCTACCAGGCCAGTGCATCTGAGTTGAGAGTGCTGTCCAGAGCGGTCACAATGGAGCACTCTGGGATAGCTCCCAGAGGCCAATACCGTCGAATTGTGTCCACAGTACCCCAAATTCGAGCCGGTAAGGCCGATTTAAGCGCTAATCCACTTGTCAGGGGTGGAGTAAGGAAATCGATTTTAAGAGCCCTTTAAGTCGAAATAAAGGGCTTCATCGTGTGGACGGGTGCAGGTTTACATCGATTTAACGCTGCTAAATTCGACCTAAAGTCCTAGTGTAGACCAGGGCATACAGGTTAGAGGACCTTAATTTTGCAGATGACATCAATTTGTTATTCCATTTGTCTGCTAATGCATTTGTATTGGCTTGCATGTCTCTGTGATCTCCAGGCCTGTGCACCATTAGTAGGGTTGAAAATCACCACAGAGAAAATTAATACGAGAATTAATGCACAGGAAACACCAATAACATTTTCTGGACTGACTTAGAAGAAGTCCGATATTTCACATATCCTGGCAGCATTGTAAGTACAACATGTGGAATAATCAAAGACCTTAAAGCTAAAATAGCACAAGCCAGACATGCCTTTCTAACTCTATGGATGATTTGGAGAAATGTAACTCTTGTCTTCCAAACTAAACTTTAAATATTTAACACAATTGTGAAGTCGGTCTTATTATATGGTGCTGACACTTGGAAACTTATCAACCTTACAATCTAAACTCCAATTTTCCATAAACAGCTGCCTTAGACAAATGCTCAATACCAGATGGCCAGAAAAAAAAATCACAAAGAATCTGGAGAAGAATGAAACAGAAACTGATAGGACAGAATGAAAATGGAGATGGCTGTGAAATAAATGGAGGAAAAAACTAAATAAGTTAGGTGTTGGACTGGAACTCCCAGGGCAAGAGGTGATGAGTAGACCAAAGATATGGAAAACTGAAAGCAATCAGAATGACACAGGAAGAAGCTAAGGAGACCAGCAAACAGGAAAGGCAGTGGTGAAGGCCCGATGTTCCACACAAAAAAGGAGAGGGGAAGAGAATAAAATATCTATCTATCTATATCTGTATCTTTAAAAGTAGTTAGTTTGACATTTTTCTTTTAAAAGCAAATGCAGTGAGTGCAGTTGAGGGGAAGGTGAGTGCTCACACAGTACCAGTGAGTAGTAAGAGTGCTCCCTAGTTATTTTATTTTTTTTTTGTATTTTTCTTTTTATTTTGCACATGTATCTTTCTGCTCCGGAGGTGGTATTACTTGAACAATGCAATATCACATAACAATTGGACAAGAAGGATTTTAAGAAATATACCCTATATACTCTAAAATACAGAGCACCCTAGCATAGCACCCTATGCTCCTCCAAAATGACTGAAGTGAGAGAATGGCACAGCAACATTAATTCACTGACTGATCTCTTCGAAGCTTTAAGAGAAGCAGTTGCTCATCAGCTGACTGCACTACATAATATGAACTAAACAAATGATACATTTCATGCAAGTATGAATAAATGGATTGTTACCCAGAATGGAAGTTTATGTAAGAATGTTCAGTGAAGGTGAAGTGGGGGCAAGAGTGTAGGATTTCATGTGATCCCATGCTGGTTTTAAACACCTTCCATCTGCAGAACAGTAGTGATATCTTGGAGCATCTCATTACAATAAGATTAAAAGAAAAATGTTAGTTTAGTCATAGTACCTTTTAATGTAAATTTTTTAAAAAGGGCGGGGGGACAAAATTTAAATTAAGAAAAGTAATTTGTGATGCAAGGTTCTTTCATGGTGAAACATTCTCACTGTATTTCTATGCCAGCTAAATATTTATATCTTGTAACCCTCTCCCAATAAAGTAAACATTTTATTTACTTCAAAATATTCTTAATATAATAGCATACCTTTTTGATCTTTAGATACATCCACACTCCTATCAATCCGGATGACCCTCCACTTGTTGAACAACCCAAGCCAATGTATCCTTATCGAACAGTAGGATGTGTCTTTAATCATCAGAAGTTCTTGGGGAATTGCCAGCCCTCCGATGCAGTGGAAGTCTGTGTGTTTGACCTGCATGATGAATCTAAATGGAAACCAATGAGTGGAGAAGCAATCAAATCTGTGTGTTCTCCAGGGGCCACAACTTCACTTCCTCCTTTCCCCCCTCTTTGTGCTTCCACAATAGATGCTGCAGTAATAAGCAATGAGATAGAATTACAGCTGAGAATACTGGTGTCAGAACACAGAAAGGTACTGTTCTTTAATGTTTTTCATTGCTATGCCAAATAAATGAGGTATCAAGTTTTTAGTATCTACTTGTCTAAAAATTTGGAGGGGGGGCGTTTTGGTTTACAGTACATGCTCCCAGCAGTCACCATTGCACCACTATTTAGTGTATGTGACTGAAAGAAACTGTTTGAGAGGATTGCATCAAGCAATTAAAAAATTTGTATTTGTTTGTTTTTAATCACTCTAATGTCTGAGTACTTTACAAGATTAAAAATATCTCAGTACCTTCCAAGGTTGGTATTGTCCCTTCTCCTGTTTAACTGATTTCTCATAGTGCAGTAATGTGCTGGGGTTGATTTTTTCTGCATTGGGTATAAAGAAGCCCTTTTAAAAGCAAATGCAATATATTTTTGAAGAAATGCTAATTTAAATAGTTTAATCTTTAAACATCTGCTAAAGACTTGGGATTAGTCTTTATGATATACCCGTAAGTCTTCACATTAATTTCTGTAAAATTTGATTAATACTTATTTAAAAATTTACACTTTGTTCCACATATAACCTCCTGGATATAGCGTTCCTGGATTTAAGCCCCTCTTCGGCTCATCTCTTTTTTTAACTTTAGAAGAACTCTGTTACATTTCGCCAGTGCAGAAGTATAGTCTGGAAAGTTTTTAGTTCTTCGACTAGATGAAGCCATGTATTCCACTTAGATGTGTATGCGCCCAGAACATCAGAGCCACAGATTTTGCCTAGCAGTACCCATAATGAGGCAGCACTTGCGTCTCATGGCCACAGCCCCTCCCCTGGCTACATGAGGTGGCACCTCCTGTCTCCAAACTCAGTTCCTTCGTACTGCCTGTGGCTGGAGTCTGATCTCTGTGTGGCCTAAACATCAGTCTCTCACTATTTTAGTGTTTTGGGTTTTTTTTTCTAGTAGTATATAGTTAATAGTGCCCTTAGTGTTAGTCGTATTTAGTTAAGTATTCCCCTGTGATGCCTTCACTGGGATTTAAACATTGTCCATCGTGTGGGGGAGTGATCCCCCAACAATGATCCTCACACATGGAGCTTGCTGTGTGTGAGTGAGGCCCACACCAAGGATCAGTGTTTGAGCTGTAGATTGTTCATTAAATGTACTCAGGCAAAGGACCTTCACATGAAGCATCACCGGCTTGAACAGGCCATGTGGCCTGCTTCGGCACAGAGGCCTGTGTCAGATTAGAGGTCACCCTCAGGTGGCGAGAGTGTTGCCGCTGGTTCTTCGAGTAGTGTCCCTATGGGTGCTCTACTGTAGGTCCAGCAGTGCCCTGTGTGCCTGGGATTGGAGATCTTCAGTAGCAGTGCCAATTGGGTTGCACATATGTTCCTCCCTGCAGAATTTGGGCATTGTTCCCGATGTGCAGCAGGCCGTAGAGGATTTTCCCTTTCACGACCGGGTTTTGTTTTCGGACAAGACAGATGAGACCTTGCACTCCTTCAAGGATTCTAGGGTCACCCTACGTTCCTTGGGGGGTATATATACACTTGGTGCAGAGGCGCCACATCAGTGGCCAACAGCAGCAACAATACCATCCGCAAAGCACCTTTGGGCACCCTTTTCTTCCTTGGGAGAAGTGGGATTACCCCAGAAATGGGTGTAGATCCCAGAGGAGGAGGCAGTTGGGTCTAGAGTTTGGCCAGTTGACATACCTTCCCCCGGCACCCCCAAGTGCCCATTTTGATTCTTTTGGTCCAGAGCAGTGGTCTAGTCAATGCTTCCTTTATCCCACTTTTGTTCAGAGACATGCTGGATTACTTTTGACAACGTTTGGGGCTCGATTACAAGCAATGGCTGGTTCCTAAGCATCATCAAATCTATCTGTGCTATCCAGTTCCTCTCCACTCCTCCTCCCCCACAAACACACCTTCCCTGTCTGTCTTAAGGGACCCATCTCATGAGATACTATTCTTCAAGCAGCTCCTCTCTTTACTGGTTTTGGGAACAGTGGAGGAACTTTCTCGAGAACAGCGAGGTAAGGGCTTCTATTCCCAATACTCTTTTTTTTGTCTCTCTTCTGCTCCCAAAGTTTTTACGAAATGTATGTTCATGGTAATGGCATACCTCAGGAGGAAGGGAATCCATGTCTTTCTGTATCTGGACGACTGGCTACTGGGAGGCAAGTCCAGGGAAGAAGTCCTTTTTCATTTACATGTTACACTTCGCTTACTCAACTGTATCGGTCTCGTCCTGAACACCAGAGAGTCAACATTGGTCCCACTCAAAAAATCAAGTTCATTGGGGCCCTAATAGATTCTACGAATTCAAGAGCATTTCTGCCAACCAACCATTTCTAGACAATTCACCGCCTTTGTGTCGATCTGCAGTCTCAACCTTCCAGAACAGTTCATATGTGCCTGAGGCTCTTAAGCCACATGTCTGCAGGCATGCAGGTGGTTCAGTTCACAAGGTTGCATCTTTGCTTTCTTCAGATATGGCTCAGGACTGTTCACTGTCCAATCCTTCATTTCTTGGACAAGTTGGTCCACCTCCCTCTGTCTGATCCTGGACTTCTTTCAGTTGTGGACAGTTGTGAGGAATGTATATCAAGACATCTCCTTCACTCCGCACTTACCAACCAGAACTGTCATCACTGATTGTTCCCTGATAGGTTGGGGAGAGCATCTGGGGTCATTGACAGTTTAGAGCCTGTGGTCGGGACAGGTTTGGTTTGGTCTGTTTTTTTGTTATTTTTGTTTTTTCATAAGCCGCTTTGACAGGGTGCTGGGCTGGGACTCTTGGGCCAGCCCTCTGTCACACCATCTCCAATTAAGGGAGTTAAATTGGAGCTTGTCAAGGTTCCTTCCCCACTCTGAACTCGAGGGTACAGATGTGGGGACCTGCATGAAAGACCCCCTAAGCTTCTTCTTACCAGCTTAGGTTAAAAACTTCCCCAAGGTACAAACTTTGCCTTGTCCTTGAACCGTATGCTGCCGCCACCACCACCGTTTTAAACAAAGAACAGGGAAAAAGCCTACTTGGAGACGTCTACCCCCAAGCCCTACA